CACACCTCATGGTCAGCACTGTCAAACAGAAAATGAGGACTCTGATCATCTGTAGCCTACCCTTGCAATTGTCTTTTGTGAAAGACTTGTCTTTCAGGTTAACTAATAATTTATCAGCAAGTTTGGCCTGCAATTCATTGAATGTGTGTCATGATTATCAGTCTAATGAACCATGAGTTCACACTAAGACAACACTTGGCTATTTTTATTCTTTATTTTATTGTATTGTATTTTTTGGACATGACCAGCACAAGCCTACATTGGCGGTTAATTGATGCGCTCTTGGAGACTGCGACGCGTGCCTGGTCCATTGAACATTCAAAAGCTCTTCAACTCAATCAATAGTTTTTACTCTTATAACCTGCATACCGTGTAAAAAGTAAACACGTTATTTAATTTTATTACACACGTTTAGTTTCACCAATAAGTTTGACTGCTACACCTCAGACCTGAACACCAACAGAGAAGGCAAAAACTGTCGACATGCATTTTTGATGGTGGTAGGCCTATATGATTGTCAGATTAAATTTTTATGTGTGTGTCACCCTATTCCCTACGTCCCCCATCCCCAACCCCCTCAGAACCCAGAATTAAACAAAGAGAAAGAATGAAAAAAAAGAAAAAAAATACAGTTCTTTTTGCGTCAGTCCGTGATGCTTTATTGCCATATTCGGTCAAATGGCTCAGACACAGACGCCAATAGTTTGGAAAGACACGCTATAAACGAAGCAACGTGATAGGACGATAATATAGCAAACAGGTTACTGAAGAGTTTGCAGTCTTGACTTGAGGGGGTTGGTATTCAAATTAGTGGCGCGCTTTGGTGTGATTGGTAGAACAGACATCCATCTGTTACATTGTAACGGCGCGTGTCAGACGCGTGAGATCACCGCTGATTTGAAACAAGGTGTTTAATAGAACCACCGAACAACTAAAATGTCTGGTCACTGGAAAATACAAATAGAAAAAAAACAGTAAGAAATGTTTAGGAAAAGAAACATGCAAAAGCGGTTTAACCTCCTTTCTATGTAAATAAAACCTTATTTCTAAACCTACACTTTTTATTTTCATCTCTAACCTTATCCTTTATATATTGGGGATTTGTTTTTTAAATTATGTTGTATTCCAAACCTCCATACTCTTGCTTAATATGAACTTAAATACAGTCTACATAATTTTCCATGCATGGTTTAGCTATATTTTGCAGTAATAAGAACGTAGGCTATATATCGAACATGGTCCGAATGTAAGCAGATGTTGACAGTATAGCGTGGCTTGGTTAATTATCGCGCGGTCTTCATGCTCTGTATTATTTATATAGATGTCCAATATATGGCGGTTTTCCTTGTGAAATAAAATCTCTTAAAGCACACATTGTATTAAAACAAAGACAAGTTAAAGTAACCCACAACTTTAAATGCCTTGTAGCAAAAAAAAAAAAAAAAGCAATAAACATTAAACCAAAATGCGAAATGGAAAATGAACTTGCATTTTGTAAATTATTGTGCTTTAACTTCCACATTTTATTGTGTAGGCCTATATGTGTATATGTAGGCCTATATATTTTATAAAACACATGTGGAGGTCTTCGAGACAATAAAAATAATCATCAGTCACATGCGCATACCAGCGGTTTTGGATGATACTGACATCAATCAACAGGTGGTAACTTTTGGGACAGTCAGATCAGATCTTCTCCCTTTGGCATCCCCCTCTGCGTCCAACCGAAGACACAATAGATTAGAAGCCCTCCCTCCACGCCAAAGGGCCCTATAAAAGACCCCCTCACACACCCTGACCACAAAACTCTCTGCTCCTCTCTCAAGAGCACATCTAGAGACAGCTCCCGATCAAATCATGACTCCAAACATTATTACCGAAGCTCATTCCCACGCATTCGGTTCTCGAATGACTGTGGCTCAGAGAAAAAAGGCACATGAATTGAGAAAGGTGAGGATGATTTTGGGTTCCTTTGAACACCCCTGAACCATTTTAACGGTTGTGCTTGCGGTGTCTATAAACTCACACTCACATTAACCGATTTCTGTCTTTTTCCAGACTCTCAAGCCATTGATGGAAAAAAGAAGGCGGGCTCGCATTAACGAGAGCCTCAATCACTTAAAAACACTTATACTCCCTCTGTTCGGCAAAGACGTAAGTATCTTTGGTACTTGAATGGCCATACAGTACTTACATTCAAATGTATCCTATGTCAGTGTCTGAACAATACCCTAATGTGTCCAATCACTTTCAATTGTTTAGGCTTCACGCTATTCAAAGCTGGAGAAAGCTGACATTCTCGAAATGACTGTGCGGTTCCTCAGAGATCTGCCTTCCTCATCAGCTAAAGGTGAGTGATTTCATTTACTTTGGATTTCACAATTTTCAGAGGCTAATTGGCAACTGTATTTATTTTAACGGGTCCAAATTTATTTACTATTTTTCTCTCTCTCCAAAGGTCAAACAGACAGCTATAAAGAGGGATATAAAGCCTGCTTGCAGCGCATCTCTGCGATGCTGCCGCAGTCTAACCTCGAAACAGAAACCCGGCAGCGCGTCAACGAGTTCCTCCAGCACTCGATGGTGTCTGCGACGTCCTCCTGCCAGAACTGCTGTGCTCAGAACTCCAGAATGATTTCACAAATGCACCAGAGACTTGTGAGCTTGAGGAACAGCAGCTCGGCAACGGAGAACCACTCCATCAGTACCGCAGCAGCTCCCAGTCAACCTCAGCCTGTGCCACAGGCAGCTGTGGACATGTGGAGACCGTGGTGACCAAACAGGCAACATAAGTCTTCGGGGAAATTGTTGATAATTAACTTTGCATGTTATTTATTTGTCATATAGGGTTTAGTTAAAATGTAAAGCCTGTGATGGAGATTAGGCTACATGTAAAGAATTTAAGGAACTGTGACTACTTTGTAAATGAAAGAAAGCCAGCGAGCACAGATCATGCTGTCTTCTATGAACATAACGTTATGCAATCCTCGCTGGGGGTTTAAATACTATGAGTTGTAATCAACAAAATTGTAAACCCCAAGGGTTAAAATGTGAGGTTTGCACAATTGACTTGATTTCATTTGGTCTGTGCAAAGAAATCGTAAACACTGTGTGTTAATTATTAATGGCAAAACCAATGTCCCTGAAGGAAGCATAATCATAAAATGTTATTGTGAATCAACAGAAGAATAAAACCTTTTTACGTTGAAATTCTTGAAATCTTTGTTTGTTTATTTATTGGAAATGGTTTTTAAAATTTCTCACTGGAGGAATAAAGCAGCTGGAAGTTGTAGACGAAGTAAAAAAGATACAGAAATGACAAACAAAAAACACGTAAATATAAAACTATGTCCTTAAATAGGCACACATATGCATTGATCTGGATAAGAAAACTGGGAAACAACAGCAACAATTTTCCATTTAGCATATGTTATTATAAGAGGTCTTCGTAGTCTGAGAGACCATAGAAATGATCTTCACTTTAGCGTCCCTTATACAGCTCCCTGCGCTCAGTCTTTTGCACGGGAAACAAGGGTCGCCAAAGACCCCACTTTAGTGATAAGTCTGTTTCAAGAAACATTAAGTAGAATTGTAGCTATTTTTATCAAATGAATGTTAGCATCTCTTAACATCTAGGTCTTCTTATTGACAGAGGCATGCGCAAAGCTCCCTCAGCTTGGTGTTTTGCGCGGGAAATAAGGGCCGCCAAAAATACTGCTTGTTTAACTTCAAGTCTGTTTCATGAAAGCGGAATAGAAGCTATTTCTTTCAAATGAATAGCTATGTTGCCTATGTTTGACATAACACATTTATAAATGAATGACCATAAATCGCTGATCGGAACCGCTGAACACTGCTCTGGAAATTGTAAAGATAATAAATTATTAAATTACTGAGCATATAGCCTATATAAAATCTTTTCTTTTTTTTTCATAAATAAAATAATTGTGTGCAGCCGCAGCAAAAGCCATAGTGCAACCGCTTTTTACAGTTCATCCACATTCACATTGAACATTGTTCAATAAGATATCAGGTTCAGTAATGTGTTTATAATGTGTTTAACATAATTCTTTGTGAAAACCACCCAAAGCTGGTTATACAACATTGGTTTGACGGTCTTAGATCGTTTAAGCTGGTCTCCCAAACCAACAAACCAGTTACCAGATCAATCTGGATGGCCAGCAAGCATCAGCAAACCAGCATACTGTAGACTTGTAGATGCTCCCCCCAGCAGGGTGTTGGTGCCTTCTTTTATGTAAGTCTATGTGGCTTTTTCAGGTTTACTGTTGTCCACATGGGGAAAATCGTAACCATATCTAAAAGAAAACAATAAAAAAATAAAATAAAACTAAATAGTAACAATGTACTTCTCCTCAATGAGCTGTATAATTTCAGCCATGTCTGTACTATCCCAAACGGTGTGGAACAAGGCAGTTTAATTCATAGTGTCAGGGGTTTGTTCAAATCATTAAATAATGATGAAGACCCTATCCATTAATTGTCACAGTTATGCACATCCGAGAATCAGCACTCACATTCATACTGACTCACTTTGTGTTCTAACAAGACCTCCAGCATATTGATTGCATGGCTGTAATTAGAGCTTGGCCAAGCATTATAATTACTGTTGATCATACTTAGGGATTTGAATAACTGCCTAACTATTAAGCATATGGTAACTTAACCCACACTGCTCCCACTGCACAGGCGAGACTGATATCACAAATCATGCTGCTTGTTGAGAAGAGTTGTGCTATTACTTTGGTCAGTGGTCTGGCTGATTTGGTAAAGTTTAATTAAGACTTAAGACTGATTAGTTTCACCTGCTGGACAATAAAATTGAACAATCAATATCCCATAGATTTCCATAGATTGGAGGGACCCAAGCCATATCTAGAAATCAGGGCTGCGTTTCCCGAAACCTTCTTAATGCTACGTCGTTCGTAAGTTATACCTTAAGTTGTACCTTTACGTTAATACGTGTTTCCCGAAATGTTCTTAGTTAAGTATACCTTCTGTAAGTCATTCGTTCGTAAGGTTAGTCTGGACCACTCTTAGCTATACCTTATCGCTGTTCACAGTTCACTCCGCTAGTGGCCACCACTGTGCAAAAACCTTCTTCACATTTCAGTCGATACGATTGTAATTCTGTGGCAAGAAAAAGTGCAGAACCAAATAAATATTACAATTCTAAGTGTAATACACCCAGTGTTGAATTAGTGTTCAATTAATTCAAGTGTTTTTATGCAAAGAATAAAACTGTCATTATACTGATGTTTGTTAGTTTTTCCATTATAATATACAAAGGCACATCGGCTGGCAAACAATTAGGCAGCACATAATTAGGAGTCTATTTAAAGGGAATGAATGTGATGGGGAGTTTGGTCAAACTATGGAAGCGAGACAGCGAATAGTTGTCCTAAATCAAAGACGGCTGCGTCCGCGGAGCCAGTTAGTGTATGTGCACTATTTCATTATAGTGTCAGTATAGCTACCATGTCAAAAGATAAAATTCTACAAAAATTTTGCCTGCCACGGGAGCAAATTCAGCAGCTTTTACATCTTGTTGGTCAAACTTTGTAGAGACAAACTTGACGGAGCTACTCCCTAAGCCCCGAAATTCAGCTGCTGGCAGCTCTCCGTTTTTATGCTGTGGGGAGTTTTCTGGAGGTGGTTGGGGATGGATTTTAACAAGGTATAGTTCGGGGAACACGCCTAGAACAGGTATACCTTTAGTTAAGATATACCTTTAGAGTCTTCGTAGCGAGCTAAGAGACAACGTTATCGGGAAACGCAGCCCAGAATATAATAGAGAAGTGGCCTCTCTTTGTCTTCACCCAGAACACCCAAATAATATAGTATAACACTAGCACCCCCACAACCACAAAACAAACACACTAAAACATATCAACATCTAAGCAATCACACAGCAACACCCTGGTAACCATCAAAAATACACTATCCTAACAGTGACATATATATATATATATATATCTAATTGTGATGTTATATGGAACATTCAAAGTTTTACAGATGAAACTTCTTATTTAAATTTGCTGAAAATAACATATAACGGTAAACAAACTGATGGAAAAGAATAATCTTGTATTATTCTGTGATACAACACATTATTACCTCATATTGCTTATGGTTACTATAAGCTCCTGACACATCACAATACCTATAAGTGAAATTGGTTAAGAAAATATTTTTCATGATAGTTAAAAAAAAGAAAAGAAAAAGAAAAAAGAATTGACCAATGCAAAAGAGATTCGTGTCAGAATCTGTCCATAGTATTTCAATAGATTGTCTATGTTAAATATGTTAAAAAGGAAATAAAGACCTAGCTGTTTGGGGGATTTTTATTGTTGCATATAGGATTTGGTGAGTAGCTGCTGATCCTCTTGAGGGAGGGGGTTGGGTTTGCTTATTGAAATGCTTGGGTCGAGTGAAGCTAAGAGAATAGAGAACAATGAGTTTGTCACACCCATGGACTGCCCCTGTGTTGCTGTCTTGTGTTGTGCTCACCGTGGCCCAGTTTCTCCCTTGTTCTTATTGTGTTCATTTGATTCAGGTGTGTCTCGTCTAGTACCCCTCGTTTAGTTCATTATTTAAAGTGTGTTCTGCCCCTTGTTTCCTGACCGGTGTCTAACGTCTATTCCCCTGTGCTACGTGTGTGTTCCTGCCTGTGAGTCTTTATTTGGATAAATAAAGGTTGTTCTTAGTGCTTTTGAGATGCGTTTGTGATCTTTTGAATGCAGTGCTTAGTTTTGCAAGAGATGTGAGGCATTTTGCGTGTGCAATTCTTGGATTTGTGAGTAAAGTTTTGAAAAAAAGAGGCAAAGTTTCGAAAACGTCTGTAAGCAGTTGAAAAAAAAAACTGTAATACATAATAGCATGACAATGAAACCAGAAAATGGACAAGTACAACAAGTATATACCAAACTGGCAGAATGTACTTACTGAGAACCTTTCATCAAAAATGAGTCAAACTAATATGTAACAGTTAACTGTTAAGAGTTAACAGGGTTAAGGCTCTGTTAAAAGGATCAAAGCAGTAATTAATCATTTAGACAGATGATTCATCATCCCTTTATACATGAAGAAGTAACGGCACCATATGATGAACTAAATAAAGAAATACTAAATGACATGACATTATGTATTAACAGGGGAAAACACTTTTGGAAATGAATATTCTGTCTCTTGGCAAATTGAAATTGCTCCTGAAATTGGTACCATGAAGCAATTTCAGGCTTGGAAAAACAGAAACAAATCTTCAACATATGGTCAGCCCTTTCAAAAAACATATACAAGCCATCTGGCATGCAGCGTGAGGAAATATAGAGATGCAAACAACATTCAACTCTGCCTTTTCATAGACTCCTTTTGGTTTCAATTGTATTATTTTAATGAATTCTGAAGAACTGGTGCTATATTTATTTCAAAATCTCACAATTCACTGTTATGAGAAACACATATTCAAAACGATTCAAATTGGAAATTGTTTGGCATGCACAGCATCAACAAGATGACAAAGGCTGAGTATGTCCACCATTTCATGCTCAGACTATAACCCATTATGACTCCTGATCATCTTTGGGCAGAAATGTGGACAAAGACGCTAAATCCAAGCAAAAGCTCGCTACTGTCAGACTAAAGATGCAGAACTCACTGTTGAAATATGGGTGAATTTATCTTCAGATTCAAACTGTGGTATGATAAAGCAGTCACACTTTATTTTAAGGTCCAGTTCTCTCTATTAGCAAACCATTAAACGTTTGCCTCAATAAACAAGGTGTGTAAAAAAGAAAAGTGGACATGGAAAATAGATGATTCAAATGTGAATGGGCTGAACAGTTTTGAATGAGTGTGTGACGATACTTTTTATCGCGTCGTGTCTGGTGTTACAGTTTGATCCCCCCCAAAAAATCTAAGCATAAAAATATTAATACTGGTATACAATATATCTACAAGTCTTGGATTTAAAATAATATCTTTAACTGTGTAAACGCACCAATTATCCTATTCCTTCTTATATCTAACAATAAGGAACAATAGTCCATGAAGTGCAAACAATGAGTAATTATTGGGCAGTATAGCTACATTTACATCATTACATTCATGGCCTTTTACACGTGCTCTTTTATTTTAACCTACAAAAACACAGTGCACATTTCAAAGCCAGAAAACACTTATTTTATTCTGCTCTGATGATAGCTGTATGAGACATATAAAGGCTGACTCTGCCTAGGGCCATGAAGGTCACTAACACACTATGTACCCACTTACTCTTATGTATGCTTAACTATTTATAATTACTTTTAGGGTTTATAGCACCATTAATTGCTATATGTTAAAATACGACAGTAAGTCATGTGTAGAAGTTTGTATTAGTGCTCCGTCTGAACAGAGAAAAGATATGTTTTATTTAATGGCGTATTTGCAGGGATTGTTTAGGAATATGACAGGCAAATGGCCATGCCAAAAGAAAAGTCAACAGCTGCCCAGATGAGAAGTGTCCTCACAAAATATATGACTCACCTACCTACCTTATGACAGTTGCTTATGCATGAAAGTTAGTGTCTCCAAGATACTGTCTTGAAGAAAAGAACACCATGTTGGATGTTGCTAAAATTATCTGTACTGTTAACCTATCAAAACCTGTAGAAATTATGTCAGATGATTCCATATTGACTCCTGGACTTCACTGAGCATATTGGTCTCTCTATAGGGTTTAAAGGGGTCATATGATGTTGCTAAAAAGAACATTATTTTGTCGGTGAAGGAGCGGTGAAAACGGTGAAAGCCGATCCGGCCATCCACAGCGCGAAGTTGATGTATTTCCTCAGCGACCAGCACGGATCAGCTCTAGGCATGACGAAGCGAATATCATCCTCTTTTGGAAGACCAAACAAAGTAGTTTCACTTTCACAACCTTCACGACATGGCGTGCACGGCAACAACAATACTACAGCGAGAATAAAAGTTCACTTGCGTGAACATTTGAGTGGCGTTATGCAAATCTTCACATAGTGACGTAGATATGTGGGGGCATGTTAGAACGAGCCGTTTTAGGTAAGCGTGGTTGACTCTTAACTTTTATAAAGAATATCTCTTTGGATTTGAGACTTTAGTCTTTGCAACTTTACAGATCTTCTTTATGCACCAAGAGCTTGTAACACTCCAAAGAGAAAGGAAAAATTGAAATCGCATCATATGACCCCTTTAACTATAATTCCCCCTACAAATATGCATGCTAATAAGCAACTAGTTAATAATGAATAGTGTTCCCTAATCTAGTGTTACCATATTTTAAAAAATCTTAACGCTACATACATTTATGCAATCTCAGAAACTTTGTTTTAACAGTTTTAACCAGACTGAAGGTTGAAAGATTATAATTTTCTAAATTATAATTATAATTTTCCCTGGAGCACAAAACCAGTCTTAAGTCGCTGGGGTATATTTCTAGCAATAGCCAACAATACATTGTATAGGTCAAAATTATGCAAAAATAAATTGGCTATTAAGTAAAGATCATGTTCCATGAAGGTATTTTGTAAATTTCCTACTGTAAATATATTAAAACTTAATTTTTGATTAGTAATATGCATTGCTAAGAACTTCATTTGGACAACTTTAAAGGCGATTTTCTCAATATTTAGATTTTTTTGCACCCTCAGATTCCAGATTTTCAAATAGTTGTATCTCGGCCAAATATTGTCCTATTATCCTTTCAAAAAATTTACCCTTATGACTGGTTTTGTGGCCCAGGGTCACAAATGGTATAAGGCATTGATAATGTCAAAACTGCTGTTACATGTGTAGCTAGTTTATACACAAAAGAAAATAAAGTTGAAGCAGACAGTGAATGCATACAGAAAATGAAGTGAATCATTCAAGAGTGAACCTGCTGAATTGATCAAATAAAATCTGGTTGTACCAGAAAAACAAAAATCTTAGTTTTGACCACAGGTTAAGAAAGGACTGGCTGGCTTACATTTCCCATCACCATTTATGTTGATAAAAGCATTTGAATTAGTAAATAGCATTACTGAATAGTATTATATAGACTAATATAAAGTCCATTTAAATGTATAATGTAATAATATACAGTGCCCTCCACTAATATTGGCGCCCTTGGTAAATGTGAGCAAAGGCGGCTGTGAAAATAAACCTGCATCGCTTTATCCTTTTGATCTTTCATTCAAAAAAATTCACAACATTCTAACCTATCATTAAAACAATCAAGAGTGCGGGGAAACTCACATTATGAAATAAATGTTTTTCTCCAATGCATGTTGGCCACAATTATAATTTGTCACCCCTTGAAATTCTTATGCGTAAGTATATTCCCATTCATATTTACATTTTATTTTAGCACACCAGGGTGACTAGGAGCATAAAATTGTCCAGCCATGACTTCCTGTTCCACAGGATTATAAATATGAGGAAAACAAAGGCCAAATTCCCTTAATCATCCATCACAAGAAGTAAAACCAAAGAATATAGTTCTTATGTGCAGAACAAGATTGTTGAGCTTCACAAAATGGAAAGAATTGGCTATAAAAAATATAGCTAAAGCATTGAGAATCCCCATTTCCACCATCAGGGCAATAATTAATAAGTTCCAGTCAACGAAAGATGTTGAAAAATCTTCCTGGAAGAGGACGTGTGTCTATATCGCCCTAATGCACGGTAAGGAGGAGAGTTTGAGTGGCTAAAGATTCTCCAAGGATCTCACAGCTCGGTTTGGTGTAAACAGGGATAAAAAAGTACCCCATGTCCACAGTTTAATATACTGTCGGATCTTTAATGCTGTGGGCTTGCTTTTCTGCTGGAGGTCCTGGACATCTTGTTCAAATACATGGTATCATGGATTCTAGCAAATACCAACAGATAAAAAAAATCTAAACCTGGCTGTCTCTGCTAGAAATCATATAATGGGTTGGACAACCTTCCATCAGGACAATGATCCAAAACAAACATTAAAATCAACACAAAAATGGGTCACTGAGCACAAAATGAAGCTTCTGCCATGGCCGTCCCAGTCCTCCGACCTGAACCCTATAGGAAATGAGTGTGGTGAACTAAAGAAAAGAAGCACCAACATGGAGCTGTGAGTCTGAAGGATCTGGAGAGATTCTGGATGAAGGAATGCTCTCTGATCTCTTGTCAGGTGTTCTCCAAACTCATCAAGCATTATAGGAGAAAACTCAGACATGTTATCTTGGGAAAAGGACGTTGCAATAATTGGGTGCCAATAATTATGCCCAACGTGAACTAGAGAAAAACATTTATTATGAGATTTCCTCCCCACTTTCTGTTGCTTTACTTCAATGACAGCTTAGAATTTTGTGATTTTTTTGAATGAAAGATCAAAAGGATAAAGCGATGCAGATTTATTTTCACAGCCGCCTTTGCTCATATTTACCAAGGGCACTAATATCAGTGGAGGGCACTGTACATTAAGTATAATATGCATTACTATATAACATAAACTCTTTCACTAATATAGACGCCTTCTTAAGCTTCTTATTCCTATGCTCTTTACTTATAGTATGGAAGAAAAAAAATACTATGGAAGTCAAGGGGGACCATCAGCTCAGCTGTTTGGTTAGCCACATTCTTCACAATGTCTTATTTTGTGTTCACCAGCAGAAATAAATTCATACAAGTTTGGAACAACTTGAGGGTGAGTAAATGATAACAGATTTTTCATTTTTGGGTGAACCATCCTTTTAATGACACTTTGGTATTGCAATGATATATTATTAGAATATATTCTTGAGATCTTTGCTGTTTTGTTATAGTGACCCAGTCAACTCCTGTCATTAGCTTTCTGCTATTTGCAAATAATATTTAACTGTATATGTAACTCAAAGTTACACTTTTTATGATTTGCAGCTGACATGGTTTTTTTAATTTTGAGTGGGAAACAATTCTGTCAAAAGGAGGAGAAAAGACTAAGTTTACTGCCCCACACTATTATCTGCATTTGGCATAGGTTTTCAGTTTTTGGGTGAAAGCATTCAGTCACACAAAAGGACGTTGCTGATCAGTCATCCAATAATAAGGTAAAACAAGAAATCAGTTAAGTAGAGCATCACACCATAATGTTGTAGTAAGATAAACAACAGAAATATAGCAAATATTTTTCCAATATTATGCATGACCGTATGGTTGATATGTCTATAAAAGTTTTTTAAAAAAGCAACTAAAAAGCACAGGCTGACAATAGGGGGATCTGAGAGGGGATAATGAGAATGTCTATGGGAATATTTTTCTCCTTAAGCATAGGGAAAAAACTTCAAATATAGTTTCTCACACATGCATTCATGCTGTATTTTGTTTTTCTTATTGTAGTGTGATTGGGTAATTAAAGGTGGATGCTGCATATCAGATTTCATGCGCACCCTGATAATTATGGAAGGCATCTACTAGGCCTAACAAAGGTAAAGATATGTTTATTATTCAAAAAAAGCCCATGTAATAGTACTGCACATGTAAAGCAAGATACTTCTTCTAAATAAAAACATATTTGAAAAAAAAACATTTTTTTTTCATTGGCTTCTTTTAATGCAGCAAGTTACAATGTTAAAAATAATCGGCTTGTTTAGGCTATGTAGTAGAGCACAACCACAGACCACAAACCAATTCTAATAAGTAAGCATAATTTACTATATAAAATCAGCAGTCAGTGTTGATGGAATAAGATCAGTGAGCAATTATCTATATGTGCCAGAAATTCTGATAGACAAAGACCAACTAATGAATAAGTAAGAATAGTCTTAAAATGCTAAATATCGGTAACCGTCATTAGTAACCTCCCCCACTCCAATTCAAAGGGTTTTCGAGCAGGGTTTTGTGCATCTAGCTATGGGCTCATCTTACTCGAATTTGCTCCTTGTTCCCACGTACCGGAATGAGTTTAGACAAAAGGTCTCTGTGTGAGTGTACGCTAGATGAAGGCACAGATGGGGCACCCACGCTAAAATTCAAAAAGGAACAAAAAGAGTTGTAACTGAACGCATCTTAAGTGAAACATTGGCTGACACGCTCCCTAAATAAAGGACCCATGGGGGAACGGGGCGCGTGCAGGGCACGTACTGATTACCAAAACGACATCGCACTCTGACGCTCCCTTGTGTTCAGTTTATCATTCGCGTACAGCGCATAAAACAATAGTGAAAAAATATATATACAAAAAGGAAACTGCATATCAATAGTTTCAAAAACGTATACATTTTAAATATGTTGACATGTTTTTCATTCCCGGTTTCTTCCCGCTTTAATCCTTCACTCTTTGGTTTATTTTGCACACGTTCTGCATTAATTTACATAATATTGCTACATCTGTTATAAGTTCTGCTACAAGACGCGTCTCAAACAACAGGATATTAATGGTGCTTTTATATTCACCAAAGATGTTCAATAATATATGGAAGCGACGGTGACACGTCTGCGCTTAAAATAACTGAATCCCTTTTGTTTGACTATTTGTAATTCAAAACCATTGACGTGGCGCATGCAGATGGGTCAACGACGCCAAAAAAAATGCTTTTAAAAAACAACGAAAGACTGGGAACTTCAGGAAAGATGTGGGGCACAAGTTACAGCATCATTAAAAGGGGGTTGGTAGAGGCCATCTGGAGACCTCTCCATGACGCGTGCTGGACGCGTGGATCCCATGGGGCTGCGAGGACCCCTAGCTGAAAATATTTGACAACCTATCAATGCTCAAACGTCCTTTTGCGTTTTCATGCAGTTAAACAAAAGTTCAACACAAAGTATACCATACAACAGACATGCGTACGCGAACGGTCATGGGTTTTTGCATAGTTCGCGTCCCATATTGCCATAATGTAAAGCAAACAAATTCATGTGGATTCTAAGTGTAAACACAAACGCTATACATTCAAACAGTGTTTGTTGAATGCAGTGCTCACATATTGGTTTGCATGGCAGCTTGTCGGTCTGCTGGGGGACGAGTGCACTCAGCCCCTCCCCATAAACGCCCGAGGTACAGGTGTAAAACCCGTCATCATAAGAGGAAAAAAACAACAACTATTGTTCATCACAATTTACAGACAGATGTTACGTTAAAACGGCGTGGCTTGGGAATCTGTCTGTTTAATTTAAATTATAAATGCTTATCCCGCCCTAAACTGGATCCCAACGCCGTGTCCTTAATGCGTCACCAGCACCCCTCTTCTTTTCATTAACATGCTTTCTTCTCCAGCATTTATTTGAAAGAATAATAATTAAAAAAAATTGACGTTATGGTATAACATAAAATGATAGATACAAATTGTTCCAACACAGTTTTCAGACTTTTCTTTTATTCTGTGTTCAGTGGTGAAAAGCAGATGTGGAGAATGGCTATTCAATATGCGTTAATATATCTTAAGTTTGGCCAAATTAGTAAAATAATACATTTAAATAAAATATAGTAGTGTAAAAGCATTCAATTTATAAACTATAGTAGTGTATAAACTGACTGTCAAAAAAAAAGTGTTGGAATGAGCAAAAAATAAAATATATCAGATATAAACCAATGTTGGTTTATAAAAAATTGATTTAGAGAGGAGTATAATTTATACACGCTACAGACGCGTCCTTTTGTTCTTCAGTCTAAAGTTATTTGAGCAGAGGAGTTGTCTGAGGCGTGGGGGCGTTTCCGTGACGCGCCGGACAGGAATATAAACCCAGCGAGCAACCTCAGTTCTGCACAGACGACCTCTACCCACAGCAAGCTCAACATGACTCCCAACGCCACTGCTGTATCTGCTCTGACTTATGCGCCCCGCACCGTGGCCATGAGAACAGAAGCAAACGAACTGAGAAGAACTTTAAAACCCTTTCTGGAAAAGAAACGACGAGCGCGCATCAACGAGAGCCTCAGCCGATTAAAAGCGCTCATTCTCCCTCTCACAGGCAAAGATGTAAGTTTTTTTCATAGAATAAACACGCTGTTTTGGATAGTCTGTGTGAAGTGCTCGTGCGTTTTACGTTTGTTCTTACCGTTGCCTGTTTTTCATTTCAGAATCGCCGTTACTCTAAACTGGAGAAAGCTGATATTTTGGAGATGACCGTCAGATTCCTGACTGATATTCAATCCATTCCGTCTAAAGGTCCGTTTTCTTCGGATACCTTTTCCATTTCGTCTCATATTGTGGTCGTCTGATGTAAAATAGCTTCGAAGCAAACTAAGTTGTATATATATTTCTGTTTACAGATAGCGCCGATAGCTTTAAAGAGGGGTACACAGCTTGCCTCCAGCGCGTTCCAGCGCGCCTTCCGCAAACCGGCCTCAACGCAGAAACCCGCCATCGCATCAACGAGTTCATCCAGCATTCAGTGATGCCCAAGACCCCAGCCTGCCAGAACTGCTGTGCACAGAGCTCCAAAATGATGACACAAATCCAACAAAGACTCCTGAATTTGAAATCTAGCAGCTCAAGAATCGTAACCACGGAAAAAAGCGACGCTGCGATTCCCAGTCGACCTCAGCCTGTGCCACTAATCACCGATGCCCAAGTCTGGAGGCCCTGGTAGACCTACCGTAAAATTGACTGCTGTTATGATCTTTTAATGCAAGCCTTTTAGAATTGTATATATTTGCAAACTGCGTAGTCTCTTGCAGTTTTTTTTTTAAAATTTGATGAATAGGTGTCATCAAATCACATGTGAGTATTGTATACTTGGTTTTCCAGCCCAGTGTACTGTGTAGTAATGGCACAGACCCGTTCAAATCGTTTAGTTTTCATAAAGATCCTGCGCGTAACCTGTACATAACGTGGTTAGATTTATGCCCTTCCGCGGGTTAAATCGTCGGTGGCTCTTGAAAACGCCTAAGTAAAACCCCAAGGGTTGATAATTGTAAGATATTTGCACTTCATGCTTTAGTATTCTGGGTTGGTGCAGATGATTTAAATGTAAGCACTCTGTGTTGTTGTTCACTGAAATCTCTATTTTAGGAGAGGTGCTATTTATTTCCCTGTTTATACATGTATGTGTTGTGCTACATTTATGTTGATACACTTATGTGTTATGCTACTTTTTATAATAAAAGTTGTAGGCTACCCAGCTGGTTTCCTTGCATTATTCTCTCTGAACACATGAAAATAACAGAGCTAGCGCGCATATACACAATGGAGAAACGCGGGCTTGCTATCAAACATAACAATGCCATGGAGTTGGGCGCGCAAATGAATACAGATGTGTGGTAGCGTGGTGATGCTCTATAGGCCTATAATCACAGGGCATGTAAGTGAATATACCCTTACGAAAATTAACCATGGTTTTACTGTAGTAAAAGCGTGGTAACCATGTTTTTTTGGCGTATTGATTACTATTTGTATAACCACAATTTAACTACAAATACCATGGTTAAACTATGGTTAGTGTAGCAAAACCATGGTTCATTTGTGGTTGCAATGGTATAACTACAGTAACCATGTTTTTTAGTAGGCCTATACATTGAATGCAGCGTCAGGTAGGCTACGATGGGGGAAAGGCGTATGCCAAATAAATAAATGCAAACATAATCACTGACAGCGTCCTCTTTATTCATGTTAAAGGTGAACGCTTGCAGGAAAACCTGGTCTCTGCTGCCACCTTTCGGTGGTTTAGTTACAGTACCGCGTGAATTGAACGAGTGAAGCGTGTAGATAATGTGTAACCAATTTCAGCGATTGATTAACATGTTGGTAAAACTAACGAATAAAGTCTACAAAGTAGAAACGGCTTTTGTTGTAGTTTTATGTATTTATTTTTTTGAAATAAACCGGTTCTTTGTTTTATAGAAAAGCAGTGAAGGGTCAGTTTATGGCTATCGCCATGTGTGTAACCTACTTCTGTTAATAAACGGAAGTGAACTATCTACACAGCTTATATGAATCGATAACCGACTCACGGCCGTACTTTGTCTTCAATGCTCAACAGCAGAACCGGTGTATGATTTTCACCACAGTACTGGAAGTAGTCTAGCCAAACCCTGCGAACCTGCAGCTCCGCCTGACTCAGTCCATTTCATTACGACACGCGGATTCGAGGTCAAAGACGCAAGATCACGATGTCTGTTTCTAATGCACAAGCGACACCATCCATCCAGATATGCAGGTAAGACCCTCTTATGTAGCGCTAACCTTTTTAACGTCTCAACCAACGGATCTCAGTTTACGCCCGATATGAAGCGGCCCTATAATCCGAAGCCTGCTGCCTCCACAAATAGAATAAGGTCCGGACATCACTACGTTTCACAAAGGACGAAATGCACGGAGACGTTACTTCTGGTCATTTCAAATGACTTAAAATGAGGTTGGGATGCGGGTGCATTTTATTTCCCTTCGCACGCGGTCACATCGTATGTCGTATGTGATGACCTCAACAGTGATGCTGATGCAGAGCATTGACAGGAACGCAAGGTTGTATACAGTAGGTCGCCAGGGCATAAATTATATAATGCAATGCTTAAATAGCGTATATTAGATTCGGTTAGGATAGTTTAGAGAAGAGGATCCTGTAATAACGGGGTGAATAAAAAGTAGAAAATGAAACCGAAATGGCTGTCATGCGTGATATTTTCTTAGCATGAATTTTTGCGCTCATTTGTTAATCGCTTTGTTTCAGGATTAAATGTTGGTTAAAACGGCATGGCTAGCGCAGAATGCTCTTGTTTTTCAACGCTCAAGCGACTGCCCTCTTGTGCTTGTGAGTGGCAAAGCCTGCGTACGCGCAAATGACACCATCGAGTTAACCACGTGAACATTTCGTGAGACTTTTGTCTGTGTTTGTTCTTGTCGGTGTGTTTGCGTAAATCTGCAGATCTGATTTACATGTTACTAGCTAATAATGGCGCTGAGACAGAACCAGCTCCTCCAGCATCTGTGGAAACAAAACGGGGTGGCCCGAGCGCGGAACACTACATCGAGGTCTGTTCTTCTGCTGGAAACATTCTGATGCTAAACAGTCGTTTAATTGAGTTTATTCCGGTGACTGGTACCTGATTTGCAAATGAAAATCCGCTTTGGTAATCTCTACAACATAACTTGATCTGCTGCTAATACCAAGCGGCTGTGATTGGTCCGTCCCGATCAGCGCTGTGAAAAGAAACAGGTTTCACGTGACAACACTAACTTTGTGCTTCAGCAAGCATAGGTATGGGCAATAACAATAACAACGAGAGACTTCAATAGTTATTTAATTAGCACGTTTAACAAAATACAGCTGTACAAGACGATTGTTTTTAACTTGTACCAACCAGTAACATTAGGCCTTTTTAACGTTTCAGGACACCACCACATCCAACTCTTAATAGTTGTCTGGTTGCATTCTTGTAAACTGACAGACGTCAGCTTTGTTAAATCACTACCACAACTCTTTTTCCATATGCTTATGTGTTGAAAGAACAAAAAAACCCTGTATATCTGATGTTATGATGGATTTAAAATAAATACAATAAATAAGCAAAAGATTTGGCCTCAGCTGTTCATCACTTGACTGATTGGAAGTGATCTTTATTTAAATCAAAGTGGGTCTTTTGTGCTCCATTTCTGTTCCGTTGTGGAGTGAATCAAGAATATATTAGGATAGCTTACATCTAACCCCAAAATCAAAACTTAATGTTATTATTTTACCTAAAGAAATTGAAGCCAGATTGTGTTTTTCCCCCTTTGAATTGTGACTTTATTTTAAAGAATTTTCTTAGAAAAGCTGAAATCATTTGAGTAACAGGCGTTAGACTATTAGTTCTGTTCATTTTAGTGAACATTCTACATATTCAAGGCAAAACTGTGTGGACTGAAGGCCTGCAGAATTTGAATGAAAGTGGGTGGAGTCTGAGTCAGTGAAACACTCACACTAGTGGTGAAGAGGATGATGTCATAAGTGATGCGTGTGCAGTGATGGAGGAAATGACTGAAAGACTGTCACTGTGGCGGATGCACTCACTGTTGTGTTGGGAACTTCTCAAGTCTCTGTCGTCTAACTTTTAAGGAGTCATGGCGTCTCATGAGCTCAGCAGGTAGAGTTGTCTAACTAACGAACACATGTTATCGTACTCTTTTAGACAGACTCTTAATTTCATACTTTTCATTCATAGACACACATCCTCATATTGTTCCAAACTTTTAGATTTGTGTGTTTGTAACATTGTGTTTGACATTGATTTGTATATTCAAGAAAATAATTCAGCGAGTTTGTTGTTTCATGGTGGTTTTAGGAGAAGTTTGCTATGACTTGGCTGTTCAAAGTTTCTCACCAAACTGGTTGTGTATGTAATCATGTCTGTTTTCATTTATGATACCATTAGACAAAAAAGCTGAGTGATAAAAACAGCAAAAAATTCCAGTACTGCTAGAATAAGTATCAGCACTCTGGAAACGCCGCTCAGCCAATCGAATTTAAGGACATGAACTAATATAAATATAATTACTGGCTATAGTAATTCTTATGGTCAAGTCAACTGACATTATATGGATCTTGTGTCAGTGTGACCTATGAATATGAAATCAACGCGATAGTATAGTTTGGTCCCACTTTATATTAGATGGCCTTAATCACTATATGTACTTACATAAAAAAAAAATAGGTACAATGTATTTATTGTGTCCACATTGTATGGCAACACATGGTAGCACTTTATTTTACACTTATTATTATTTATATTATTTATTTTACACACTATTTCCCTGTTTAATACTGTAAAGCTGCTTTGACACAATCTGCTTTGTAAAAAGCGCTATATAAACAATGGTGACTTGACTAGGCCTATTTTAAGGTGTCTTTGTTACACATGACATGTACTTACTATTATAATAACAATAAATTAAGCATAATTACATGCACGTATACGTAACCCTAATCCTAACCTAACCAAGTAGTAAGTACACGTAGTTAATTAATATTACTCAGTAGTTAAACGTGTAATTACATTGTAACAAGGACACCTTAAACTAAAGTGTAACCCAAAACACATTTGCTGTTATTGAGGTGGGATACGGGTGGTTAGGGACAGGTTTGGTGGTAGGTTAAGGGTGGGTTAAGGTGTAAGGGATGGGTCAACAGTGCAATTATAAATGTAATTACAGAAATTAATTACAGATGTAAACATGCAAGTATTTTTGTTTTTAGTTTTTTAGTTTTTAAGTACAATGTAAAAACATTTATGTACACAATAAGTGCATTGTATCAATTTAAATATGAGAACAGTGGTTAAGGCCACCTAATATCAAGTGGGATTTTTTTTTTTGATGATTTGTGAGCACTTGATTTCTTAGTCGTTTAACATAGGTGAGAAAGATAAGTTAAAAACATATACTTAGGGATTTAAAATATACAAAATGTCGGTCTATATGGCCAATATTGAATATGGTTACAAATATATATAAAACTATATCATGCATCCCTATAAGTAGTTAAACGTGTAATTACATTGTAACAAGGACACCTTAAACTAAAGTGTAACCCAAAACACATTTGCTGTTATTGAGGTGGGATACGGGTGGTTAGGGACAGGTTTGGTGGTAGGTTAAGGGTGGGTTAAGGTGTAAGGGATGGGTCAACAGTGCAATTATAAATGTAATTACAGAAATTAATTACAGATGTAAACATGCAAGTATTTTTGTTTTTAGTTTTTTAGTTTTTAAGTACAATGTAAAAACATTTATGTACACAATAAGTGCATTGTATCAATTTAAATATGAGAACAGTGGTTAAGGCCACCTAATATCAAGTGGGATTTTTTTTTTTGATGATTTGTGAGCACTTGATTTCTTAGTCGTTTAACATAGGTGAGAAAGA